ATTCTTTTCTTTGGAAAGCCATGCGACATTACAGGTGTGACACCTTTCACTGTTGAATAAATTATGAAATAGAACCTTTGATAATATATTCGACTGTCCTCCAACACTACAAGGACCCATCACTAAAGCGTTGAATAAATTATTATAAAACTTTCACTGTATTTACTTTAAACAGACAACCAATCAATAATAAGGATGAAGGCTGTTTTTATATTGTTATTTTATTGTAAAACAAGTGTTTTTCAATCAACACTTCCGAACATATTGATTTGAAAGATCGTGTTTTTTTAATGGAATATCATCAAATGAGTTAAGTGTGGGAGAGCCATGCTTCTGCACGAATGGGTCGGCTCGACCGGAGTGACACCACGGCTTCACAGAAAACCTTCGTGAAACAACCACAGCGTTGTGTTTCGCCGTGTGAGTGAGGTTACCGGAGGCCCAAGACTTCCCCAACCCCAATCCCTAAATTGCCAAATCCCTAACCCCTAAAAGGTCGGCAACGCACTCGTAACTCCTCCGTTAGGTTGTCCATAGGCGGCGCTGATTGTTTACCATCTGGTAATCCGTCTGCTCGTTTGCCGACCTATTAACATTTTATTTACATAAAAAAATGACTTTTTCGCCTTAAGGTGAGGCGAAAGGGACTGCCAGAATTACTAAAAACTACGCTGCTGCGGGCCGGGGCTGCGATACATTATTTTAATCTAAGCGGTGACGTAGAGACGTCCTCACACTCGAAACTAAATTTGTTTTATCTAAGTATTCTTTTCTTATACGACAGCATAAAAATACTCATGTGTTTATGTGTCGATATTGAACAAACCCGACAATAAACTGAGTGCTTCTCCACTAAACTTACACATACTTACTTACTTACTTACATATTTATTATATTGATATATGTATATAGAATATATATGTATATGTAGGTCCTATATATTTATATTATATTGATATTTATGTATGAGCTATAATTTTATAGCTTGTGTTTGGTTTTAATTTTTTTTTTCTTATTATCTACATTATATATTTTTTTCCTTATTATTATCTACAGAAATGCACCTACCATCCTATTTCTCCACCACCCAAAGGTAGACTGGCAGAGAACGCCTAAGGCGTTAAGTCCGCCATTGTACGTTGTGCAAGAAGTGTAAAATAAATAAATAAACTACAGTTCTAGTAGGCATGCTCACTGTTTTTGACTTGTATAGGGAGGAAGAAGTCATTAGGAGACTTCCCCTCTCCAAAAGGCCTAGCAGTAAGTTCTTAGGGTTTAATTTAACTTGTATGGAATAACAAAAATCAATCTACTCATTATTCTCACGCCACTATTATAAGTGCCTTAAGTGGCCAGCTAACCCTCACTGAGATGTTTGCATCTCGCCCTCATTCTGTTGTGCTAACGCCTTCAGGCAACACACACCTCCTAAAGTAAAATAATAAATTCCACCTCTGCTATTTGATAAATAAACTTAGTTTTATTTCATCAACCAAACCTAACAGGTTATGTATTGTATTGCATAAAAGACAATAGCAGATAATGTAATGCCTTTGTCAAACATCTCATTACATGTGTCCAATTAGTGCAAATTATTCTACTATCATAACGAAGTAAGTTTTACGTAAGTTGACCATGTAATCTTGAGATATCTAGTTACCTAACTAATTAGAAGTTATACCCTATAATATTAGTGTTATGACTTTTTAATATCTGTTGTTATTTGTAAAGAAAATTATTGTCTATGTATTTACTTACCATCACACAAGTAATAAAAAAACTCGTTAATTATTTGCTATATAAATTATAAAGAATATCACATAAACATTGATTGTAATTCGCACGATTATACTAGTTTTTGCTAGCAGCTTCGGCCTAGACGCCTTATGAATTTCACTCGATTCCAACTTTTTTATATGTTGATCTATGTGTAGGCCAATTTTAAAAAAAAAGCAATTTATTAAAAAATTACCTATGTGTAGGCCAATTTTTAAAAAAGCAGTTATTAAAAAATTTTCCTATGTGTAGGCCAATTTTTAAAAAAGCAAGTAATAAAAAATTTTGCCATGTGTAGGCCAATTTTTAAAAAAGCAATTAATAAAAAATTTCCCTATGTGTAGGCTAATTTTTAAAAAAGCAATTAATAAGAAAATTTACCTATGTGTAATCCAATTTTAAAAAAGCAATTAATAAGAAAAGTTACCTTTGTGTAGGCCAATTTTTAAAAAAGCAATTAATTTAAATTGACCTAGTGTAGGCCAATTTTAAAAAATGTTGTTTGTCGTTCTCTTACTGACAAAAAACCACTTTTTCTGCGTCAGCAGCAGCCGGAGCCGCGGTAAATTATTGAGCTTGACTCAAACCCACGGTCTGTTAACATTATTAGGCAGTTAAATAACATTTTATGATGTTATTAACAAAATGACCAATATTTTAAGTATATTATATTATAGTATACTTTTAACCGCGACTTTGCTCGCATGGAATAGTGACATCTTGCGTAAATAGTCCTTTCTCGAGTTCCAAACTGTGTCTGAACCAAATTTCACACAAATAGGTTCAGTAGTTTAGGCGTGAAGAAAATACAGACAGACAGATATTGTTACTTTCGCATTTCTAATATTAGTTTGGATAATACATGACTGATAGGTAGACATAATATCACAGTAAATTAAGACTAGTCTGTGTACTATATGCGGATGTGCGTCACATTAAATGAATATAACATAACGTCTCGGAAATGACTTGTGACAAATAATACAAAGAAAAGAAAATCTTTAGAACAATAATTGTATTATAGGTTATAAAACATAATAATACAAAAGTAAGCATCATTTCGACAATTGCCAGTCTGTATAACTAGACTAGCCAACTACGTAGGCAAAATTAATCTACACAAATGTGTGTTGCTGGTTCTCTGAATTTAATGGGATGGCCGAAAAAACATCAATTGCAGCTTTAGGACGGGGATGAAACAATGCTGAACTTTCGAGCTCCGTGCAGACAATGATGATTTTAATAAAAAAATCAACAAGTTACAGAACAATCGGTCACTCAACCACAGCGCTCAGCCAATACAATAGTATCACGTTAGCAGCCTGTTTAATACTATTCAACGCTATGAGCATGTCTAAAACCTTGGTAAGGATTAGAAAATGCGAATTAAGTGGTTTATGTTTATCACAAAGCACTGGTGCCCGAGTATCTATTAAATGTATAGTCCTTTAATCGACTCTGCCCATGGTGTACATATTGTATACTTTAGAGCATTTTTTTATATTTAAGATGTATATTCTGAATCTCCAACGATTATCATAACATTTACATACCTCATAATACAGAGGTTTACGGGTGCGATGAATCTAACTAGCTGGTATTCATTATCAGAAAAGGTTATTTTTATTTTGTTTTTTAATAAGCAAAAGACACTAGCGAGATGATAACGGCCTATGACAAAAAAACAAGTATTCTAATTTGCCATCCCAAAACAGCATTAAAGCAGTAAATAAATATTCAAATTATATTAGTGTACCAAAAAATCTGTAAGTGAAATTGATTAAAAAAGAGTACTCTAGGGCCTACGCGCCTTTTAAGCCGTAAAAACGTTACATTCTAAAGCCTAATCCTCATTAAGGGTTCGGTGTAAAGATTGAAAAAAAATATATGTTTACTGTAGATTCATGTACTACAATGTGAGTAAATTTGATTTTCTTATATCAAATAGGCTGTAAAAAATATTTACCAACACGCTACTTTGTTCAAATAAATGCCTATTCCTATATATATCTATAAGGCTTGGTATATTGATTTTTTTTTTAATACATCAATTAGTGTTAAAATTTACTACAAAATGGGTAGCACTCATGTAAATCAGTCAACATTTTACAAAGAACATGTTATATTATTGGGATTTCCATACGGGATTGGGATTCCAGTCGTACGTTAGTATGGGATCGGATGCTCAAGGTTATTGAGGGTACTATACGCCTTAACTATGGAGTTTCTTGCTCGTTCCTCTACATCGGATTCTACACTTTGGAACGAGCACATACCTTCAATTGTGCGTGGAATGGAATACGTGCGAGCGAGATGTGGAGCCCATCCCTTCCCAATCCTTTGATATCTGAAACACTTATCACTGAATGGCCGGCAACGCACTCGGTGCTCCTTTGGTGTTGCGGGTGTCCATGGGCGGCACTGATTGCTTACCATGAGGTAATCCGTCTGCTCGTTTGCCGACCTATACCATAAAAAAACTTAGAAAGGACTGATCGAGACACTTTACATCTTTAAAATTTTATTTGACGTTCAAAGGTACCTGTATTATTTCACCAGCCACCTTCTAATTCCTTTATCAGGTCAACACAATGGTACCGTTATATTGTAGGGTACAAAGTTATAATTTTTAAATTACTTGATGATACAACAATTACAAGTTTGTGTTATTTAGGTACTTAAATTTAATATTTGTTACAAGTCGATCTATTAAAGGCATGTGAATTAATAAATAGATAAGTATAACATGCCAGACAATTCCCACGCCTACGATTTTGGCTTAAACGAGTTGCTACGCATTTGCTACGCGTCGTTGCTACGAAAACTATGTAGTTTATAAAATTGGTTGATATACTACATCAGTTTTTATTATATCCTTGTTTATTTTTTTAAGAAGAACAACTTACTCTTGTGAATTAACTGAAAACCTCTACTTACTCTACATATTATTCGGCGAGCATCCGACTTTTTATGAAACAACTTATTATGTACACAAAAGTATTAAGCAGAATGCACACTGAAAGTACATGTTCCGCAAAGCTCGCGTTGTGCGTTTAGTACAAAGAATCCAGGAAATATACAATTATAACCAAAACATTAAAAATTAATTAAAATACTTTATTTATTACAATACTTAATTCGATATCAATATAATATTTGGCACAATTGTAGTTATAATAAAAATATATATTATTTAGAAAATATTAAATAAAAAAAAATATGTTTAATAATTGTTGAAAATGGCGCGGCGTCTTCTCAAGCCATCGCCTTTATGAACCGTATCCGTTACTTTCTGTATTTTTTGGTATTTATCAATGGCTGTCTTAACAAAGTCTGCAGCACTGCTAATCTTCTCCAATCTTTCAGGGGACATGAGGGCCCTCATTTCTTCATGGATTGGACCAACTCCATGGAAAGCAATTGTGCATAAATTCGTGTAGGTGCAAACTCCTACAGTGAGGAGAGAGCCAAGAATCAAAACAATTACGCTGTTCAAGATCCAGGTGATAGTACGACCGACGAAGCTGACCATGGTCTGCAAAATAATGGAAACATTACTTAAATATTATGGTATTGATACAGAAGTTCTGAAAATCACTACTCGATAATATTTGGGCCTATCTAGGAACCCGAGAAGCCCGGCACGACAGTCAATTAGAATAATTCCTCTAACGAGTCTAGTTTACGCATCTCAGGCACCATAATAATAAATAATGGCATATTTCTTTCTATTGAATGTATATTCTAAAGTTTAGTAATTAAGAGATTATTATTTAAGAAAAATAATCTCTTAATTACTAAAGTCAAATGCTGATCTAAAATCAATTAAGATAAAACTTACTCTGGCATGTGGCATTTGGCTCCACAGCAAGCTGAATGCTGATGTATCAGGCTCCATCAAGTAGTTGTTCGAATTGTACATGTCGTAACTGAAAATGAGGTTAAAAAGTTACAAATAGATGACAGTCAATGAAATTCATATGAGCCAATGTTCAGCAGTGGACATTTTGTGCTTAAATTGATGCTCAAATTTCTCAAACTTTTGTTTTTATTTTCAACTTAATTGTTTTGTGATGAACTTACTTTAGAGTTATCATTAACAACAACATTACAATTAAAGAAACAAAAATGTGATCGTAAGAATATAACTTCATATTGGTAGAATTTGAAAAAGAAATGTGGTTAGATGGTCAGTGCTACTCTAGGGTTATAAGTTAAAAGTGATGGACCTTAACCAAAATATTGGCCTTTTAAAAATTGCTGTCGGATGGTATAACGAGTTTATACTAAGATGATAGGGCGATAAAAACAGGCTATGTCTTAGTCTTAGGAGAAGCAAAATGAATATTTAACATCAAAATACTTAGATAAAAGACAAACTGCTTACTTGTTAGATGCGCCATATCCCGAGTCGTAGTAATAGGCAGGAGCATATGGAACGTCAGGGTAAGCCACATCAGCAGTACCGGGAACGTAACCATTTGCCAGGATGCCTAAGTCGTCCTGGAAACAGAGATAATAAATAATAATTATTGTTATTATTCCTAACACGTCATTAGATATTGATCCTTATTCATCTAGAAGGTACACTGCACTTAGTCTGCAGGAGAACTTATGGGGCGGTTTTAGAGTAAACGATATCGCATCACTAGACGTTTCTGATGTGGGTTTCAAACTCATGTGTTATAAATTTTAGTATACTCACAATCCTGTTTACTTCCGTAGGCACCTCAGGTTGATCGGATAACATAGAATCATGTTTAATAACCGGTCCAAAAGCTTTCACTGGTTCAATCCTTGCTCTGGCCTGAATCATTTCTTCTGGTCGGTAAACTGGGTGTGCTGCCTCGTGTGGCATATCTTGCACTGCATGGGTTTCCAAAGGTGCTGTTGCTAGTTCAGGTTTGAAAGCTGCGTGTTTGTCTAAGGCAGCGTATGAAGTAGATATTTCGGCTGAGTAAGCAGTTGCTACTATAGCCAATAGTACTGCAATGATTTTGATCATCTGAAAGTAAAATAATAAATCAGTAAATAATACATTTACCAAAGAAATTTATGCAGTTATATTAAGTTCAATATTTCAGTGAGTATAATTATTAACTAAAAACTATTTGATGGAAAACTTGAGTACTCATTGTAAATTTTGTTCATACAGAAAACCCTTGCTTACCTTGATTTTGTCTGCTGGTCCTGTCTGAACGAAGGCCTTGAAGACACTGATGCTTTCTCCGTCCTAATTTGTGCTATTTATATGACATCCCGGTAACCAGTCGTCCCTTACGGTAAGTGCCCTTATCTTCATATTGTTTTGCAATAATGGCAGGGCCCCATCAAAAGATAAGGATTTGTCAAAGCATTGGAATGTTTACCCGAAATTCTTTCGTCAAATGCAACTAGTTTACTTTTTAGCAATGTTTCTTTAGGAGTTTTTGTTTCTTCGGGTGGCGCCAAGAGAAACAGTAAATATAAGTATATGTAGTGGAACAATAGAGCAGTTGGTTCAAAACTTTTGTTCCGTGTTATATTATGTAGTGAATGTTACTTGACTTTCAAAGGACGGAATGTATTGAAATTTAAGGGACATTTATTTATTTATTTGAAACTATTGTACCTACGGTACTCTATTCGTGTCTTTGTCTCCGTTAGTTAAATACTGCTCGTGGCGATTCCAGTAAATTTATGCACACGTTAATTCCAGACAATTTATGCATAATATAAAATAAATTAAAACATTGTTTTATTTCAATATGTACTTTAATCAATTTAATCTCAATATTTTTTTACCTACATAATAGAACCTGCTTGATCCGTTGCTAGCCTGTCGTTGGTACTTGAATAAGATTTCCGATCGACTAATCCATCGATTGCTTATTATCATCGTATTAGACTAATTATTCAAGATTAATTATTAATTGAACATAAATTAATTATCATGATGAAGGATCCAAGATACAAAGTTTCTATACGAGGTACCTATACCTTACAATTAGCAGAAATTAAGTACTTATATACTTTAGGCAAACATTTCTGAGGCGACAATCTGAAAAGACTTCAGCGTTTAAAATATGTGTACCTATATGTCTATTATAATAATGAAGATATTTGAATTATCCACGCAGTCTATATGTGGAAGGTAGTTTTAACAATCCACACAACTTTTGTGGGTTTCATAAGAACTGGCTTAGAGACCACATTTGATCGTCACCAGGCAGCAGCGCTCGCTAGTAAACCTACAATCTCACTACAATGTTCAATCCGCTTGCCAAGTATAGATATTATATTAACAGGAGATTAATGTATGTTATCGAAGTCGACGCGACCATTACAAACTAGCACTAGATCAGTTTCTTAAGCTACCAAAATATAATAAAATAATGTTTAAAATAAAATTGTACATATGTACCTATGGTTACAATAACTTTTATGACATTTATCAATTTCTTTAACATAAATGATAAAGTTAGTTAAGTAATAAATAGTTAAGTTATAAGGCAAAATCAGGTTTATGTTGAAATTCGCATGCTTCATTTACCAAGCAAAATTGATCTATTAGAACTTTAACACCTTCGTATATCATGTTTTATGAATGTAAATGTCTTTGTCTTTATGCCAAACCGTATAAAATATAGAAGCTATAGTTACGAGTATCTTATTAACCGTCATTGCCCTTTGCATTAGAAAAATAGCCCTGTGAACCACCCACAATGTATTACAAATAATTTGCATCAAATCGATACAATCGACTTTCGGTTGTATCGATTGCTATTGAAAAATACATCAAATAGACTGTCAGTAACTGGTCAATGGCTGTCAATGAATAAGTAATGCACATGGCCACATATCCACTGAATATTTCCTTCAAAGACCCACTTTGAGGCAATTGTGTGTCATTAGTGACCCAATATTTTCTCTTTATCGATTGCTGACCTCGCTAATGGTGATATAACGATGTAGATCATAATATATCGTGTTTCAGAACCATTATTATTGTCTTACATGATTCGTTTTTCGTTTTTGACGAAAATTCGCTTGTACATAAATAGCAACGTCATCGTTTTTTCCGTATAGCTATGATGCATGTTATTAGGTACGGTACGTACCTGAATTATGATCATATGTAAATAATATATAATGTTCTTTGTATACAAGTAAATTACAAGTACATTGTGTACACAAGTAAATCTATACGAATATTATGAAGAGGTACTTGTAAGTTTGTATAGTGATGTTTGGACCCGTCAGTAGGATTTCCGCAAATCTTTCACTGACGGGTAAAGTTCCTGAGTGCTGGTCTGTAAATTATACTTGATTTGCGTATTTTGGTCGAGGTTATACATACGCCAACGTTGCTGTTTAAAATCCTAGGATACATTACTTTTATACGCGTGTGAAGCCGCTGGTGGAAGCTAGAATTTATATAAAACTAGTGAAGAGGCCGCATTTTCTTTCGGACTACTCTTAACTGTTTTAAAGTCCAGACAATCTGTCTGTCCAAACCACCAAATATCTCCAACCCACCTTTGAAAATAGAGGTTGTACCTTAAGGAGGCTCAGAGTCTAAAAGTGGACTGCCTGTACCATAAAATCATTAATACATACTGTACATCACATTATCATCAGCCAGTAATTGTCCACTGCAGAAAAAGGATTAATCACCACGCTTGCTCAAGGCGGATTGATATTTAAAAGTAAATCATTACAAGTACGATAGCGAATATTTTGCATGTTTAATAGAAAATGTGTAAAATATTTCTTACATATCAAATTTCGTTGTAATTTTTCATGTGAGCCATTTTTAAGTTTGTTATCTTCACCTCGAATAGTGCAGCTTTGTAACACAGAAAGAATTATTAAAATCCTAACCGATTTCATTTCAGAATTTATTCAACCCAAATCAATTATCTAATTTTTAGCCTTATAATATTAGAATAGATACAATATTAGAAAATAATAATCATTTTTTAAGCAGGTAAAGTATACTTAGTATTAGTCATCGTTAGTCATTGCTGAGTGATCTGCCTCATAGAACAGTATCTCTACTTATCACAAGTTCGGGGAAAATGCATTTTTTCTAGAAACCACTGAGTAACAAAAACCCATATCTTAATTACTAGACTTTTGAGAATTTGTGACTTGAGTAGCGACCATGATTTAAAAATGAGACATTTTCTAAGAGCCATAAAGAGGTTGCAATACTTATTATTACATTACATTATAAACAGTGTTTAATCTGTGGCAGAACAAATTGCTTGTATAAATCTGACGTATAATGTAACAGAAAAAAGGTTAACTTACCGTTTGACGTATTCCCAAAACAACAATATCTCCTTTTCAACAACACTCATCGTTTCACGACCGACAAACTTCGATAAACATCAGTTTAGCATGATGTTGATTGTAATTAAGATTTAATCGAATATTTTATTACCTTTGTAGCGACCGACTATTTGTCAGTAAATTATTATTTACACCTAATAAATCAAATAGTTTATCATATTGTATTTATACATTGCTAATGTAGTTTTAATGTATAAAAGTTTTCATTAATTTTGTTTGACGCGGTCAGTCGTGTGAGGGGTCCGTACTGCGACTACCACACGTTCGGTACTTCAAACCCTATATTTCAAATAGAGTTCAGGGTTAAATACCAATCGATTCCCATTCATTAAAATGGGCTTTTGATTATATACCTCTATAGATGTTAGCCATCGAAAACAATAGTATTACTGGGTCAATGTTAAGTCAACCCGTATTATTCCAATTCATAAATATAAGTGTATGCAAGTGTGTAATTTTTTCAGCATATTTAATTAAATCATATTACTTATATAGTAACGTAATTTTATGTCCCTATAACACAGTAAAAACTACGTGGTTATATTATTCTCAAATTTATCAAAAGAGGTTCCAATCACGTAAAAATAAATCAAACATATTTGCAGAATTCAGTTGTTTTAATTTTACATTGACAAATGTCAAATCAAGTTAAGTTCAATTGGACTGTTAATTTTCTAATATTATGTAAGTAATTAAATAAAGAAATGGCGTTGAAAAAATTACCTAACGATGTTCAATCGTTACTATGTGCATCTGCTCAAGTTAATAGCTTCAAGAGGGCTATCGAAGAATTGGTAAGTTATTTTCTATTGTTTATTATAATGATGATAAATAAATAAAAAAAAAACTGATTAAATATATTTTTGAGACTAAAAAGTATTAGTCGTTTATGTAATCTTGATAAACATCATAACATCGTATAGCTTTGACCATTAATGTGTTTTATTAGTATTCCGTTTACATACAAGTACTTTATTGCCTGTAATTATACAGAGTAAACATGCCACTACAAATTCTGATAAAACGAACACTGCCACCGCAATTACGCCGTGCCTTAGTGATAAAATAATAAATGATATTGATTTCAGATTTACAATTCACTAGACGCAGGATCTACCTCGATTGCGATAAGAATACACATCCAAGAAAGTACAATACAAGTTATAGATAATGGACATGGAATAACAAAAACCGATTTTCATTTAATCGGTCAAAGATATGTGACAAGCAAAATTATGGATGTAGCAACTTTAAAAGCAGCTCCACAGAACTATGGATATCGTGGGGAATTCCTAGCTAATATTATTGCAGTGTCACAAATTGCTAAAGTCACATCTAGGCATGAGAGTTCTGAAGATACGTGGGCCAAGATATTTTCACATGGCAAAGAGAAGAAGTTTACCAAAATGACAACAAGGCCTACAAAAGGAACTACAGTAAGTTATCGTACCTTGACTTGTTAATAAACAAGCAAAAAGACTCCTCCTCAAAGAGTCATGATAATTAATTGGCTTCTCGCTTATTGTATTTAATAAGACTACGATACTTTTTCCAGTGTCACACGATACTGGAAACCATGTTATAGGCAGTGGAATCCATAAACGATTGTATGTCGTTTGTAAATACACAAACGACTGTGGGCTTCTCGAGGTATATGGAATATGTTCCCCCTGTTCCACATCCATCGGTGAGAAACTAGACACTTTGGCACTGCGTAGGGATGTAACGTCGCTGTGCATCTTCTATCGGTTAAACCATGGAGGTGGTGGCATGTGTAACATGTATTGTGTTCGTTTTGCTCGCTGCCACATCTTTCAGCCACTGACATATCCGACGGCAGTTCAATCCATCCCTATATTTTCGAACCGTTAGGAACTTCAGACATTCGAAAACAGAATATACACCTTCTTATAAAATTAACAACGCACTTTTTACTCCTCTGATGTTGCGGGTTTTCATGAACAGCCCTGATGATTTATCATCAGCAGCGGAAACGAGGAAACGGACCTTCCGTTTCCTCTTTTCTCTCCTCTACCGTAGAAAAGTATCAGTAGACAAAATATTTTGTACGTTTCGTTCACAGGTAGATATCAAAGGATTTCTTTACAATCTAAACATACAAAAAAGAGTAATAGATCCTGTTAGTGAGCTGCAGAACATAAAAATGTTCCTTGAACAACTATCCCTCGTACATAACCACATTTCAATAAGTTTAAGAGATGATTCACAAAATGAAATATTGTTTCAAATTCACAAGAAAAGGGATATTTATCAAACATTAACCAGTTTATTTAACATTGATAAGAGTGATGTACAAGAACTTCAAGTTGAGAAGAATCAATATAAAGTTAAAGGTTTGATAGGAAAAGTTGATAAACAAATTGACTTGCACTATATCTATGTCAATGGAAAGTTTATGCATAGTAATAGCAAGCTGCATAAGATAACTAACGAGTATTTTAAGAAATGTCTAAACATCAAGGAGCAGGTTAGGCTAAAATCAAAGGTAAATATAATAGCTAATGAAATAATAACTCATTTTTTATTGTTGACAGCGTTACTCTGAATCAATCAATGGTGACTTAAATTACCGCTCTGCAGTATTAGTTTTAGAACAAATCTGATATTTGGCGAATTCTTTAAGCAATCATAAAATGTCCTTATGTCGGTGGTAAGAATAAATACATTATTTCTTTGAACTGTTACAGAGACATATTGACGAAAATCAGCTATTTAATCAAAACATTCCGTTTTACATAATATTTATAACTTGTCCATACATCGATTATGATATTAACTATACAACAAAACAATCAAATATAGAATTTAAAAACTGGGACCAAATGAGTAAGATGTTGGAAAAAACTGTAAAATTCTTCGTAGGAGATGTTAGCTTAAAAGAAATAAAAAAAATTGAAAATAAGGTTACTAATGTGCATAAAATAAATGATAAAGAAAACAATAATACTCGAGATCAAGTTAAGAAAATAATAGATAAAATATTAGGAAATAACTCAAAGAAGTTGGGAGTTTCACAATTACACAACGGAGTTAAAGGTATGTTACCGCCTACTTTAATTACGTATGTACCTAATATTTTTTATGTTGATCTTAGAGATACATATCGTTATACATTACGATAAATATTTAGATTAATATCGTAGGATGTAATTATAGTTAAAGGAATTAAATAATACGCCACATTCAAATAATGACATCATACCAATGAACTATCATTATATTTTTATAGGGAAGTTAGTAAAAAGAAAAACCAAAAAGAAGATAGAAGGCAGCATTAATCTCCAAAAAGTATTACTTCAAAAAGAGACAAATACAAATATTAATGATAAAGTTCGATCAATGACTAATGCACTTCCGATTTCGAATCACAATGTCCAACTACAGGTAAAAGAGAACGTTGATAATACAGATAAGGTAAAAGAATGTAAAGTACGCAAAACCCCTAGCCATTGTTGCAAAAGGAGTAAGATTCCTAAACAAAAGAAATATGCAATCAAAGAGATTTCTACAAACAAAAAGAATAGAGGCCTTGCTTCGTCACCAATACTACAAATGGAACAAAAAATTACGTCACTAAAGTTCAAAAATAATACTCTGAAACAAACTCAGCTATCGAAAAACAAACCTAAGATTACAAACAAAAAACATGCTTTACACTATTCGAAAAATACTGATTCGGTCTATAAGAGGAGCAAACTCATAGCCCAAGAAGCAGAAAAGTTTTTGCGCAATCATAATATCAAAAACATAAAAACCAACATAGATTATAACGAAAGAAAGAAAAACCCAATATTATTTAAAAATAAATATTGTGAAATGAATGAATATGGACAGCCAATCAATAAGATTAATTACGAGTACGTAATAAATAAATTAAGGACAAAACCATACAAAACAACGTACGATCTACTTCAAACGATTATAAACAGTCAACAATGTATGTTTAATAGTATAGAAAACAGCATTACTGACGATTTACACAAAAAAATATACAGTAGGGAAGATACACCACACGATTTCCCTAAACTTTCCAAACGGTACTCGACAACGCATAAATATGTTTATAACGAATACACAGACATTGAAGACAGAAATACAAATGAACTTTCTCTCTTTAGTAGGAACTTGGAAGAACGAAATAGTAGACCACATCATTATAAACATAATGTTAGTGACATTTTTAACATTTACAGACAAAGTGACGGCAATGGACCTAAAAGTCCGCAAAGAATCAAATTTACAGATACAAAAAAATGTCGTCAAAACTATACAATTCAAGAAGAAACGTCACATCAAGTTACGAACACCCTTAGCTTACTTACATACAATAGCCACCAATATCGAAATCGAAATAATAAAGTTTTTGAACAAAATGATATAAAAAACTGTTGTATTAGGAACCAAAGGCCAAATATTAGATTTATTACAAAGCAATCTAAAGATAATTTTGGTACATCCGATGATTTAAGAGGAAAATTTAAAAGAACTCGTAAAATAGTATCTAGCCGGCAAACAAAAAAACCATACGATGTACGAAGAATACAAAGCATAAGTGAATCACTGTACACAATTGAGTATTCTAAAAATAGTGACTATAATTATGATACAGCTCATAAAGAAATCGTTACAATGCATATGGATTTTAAGAATATTGATACCTGTTTCAAAAATCCCGGCAACAATATCAGTGATAATGCATTCGCAATGATTGACGAAGCTTTTGGAAATACTTATACAATAAATTCATTTCATGTAAATGTTGCAACACAAAATGATAGAAATGAGACACAAAAAAGATATGAATCTAACCAACTATTCGAAACCCAGTCCATCCATGACACTCGTAATAAAATAAACGATATACACAATGCACCTATGGATAATTTCACAACAAATAAAAATAATACCAACTTTGTATTTGTATCCAAATCACAATGTTCTACGACACACACTAGTATATCTAAGTATACTAATATGATAGTTGAACCATTAGACGTATGTGAAACAGTTTTGCACGAAATAGAATCAGGTGAAAGAGAATTTGATTTAACATATAATGATGATCACCGAAAGAATGATTCATTATACAACTACTCTCAAAATGACAACGTAGACATTAATACACCAACACATCGAGATAATTTAATCAATAAAACTGTAAACAAGAATGGCGAAGATGTGTCACACCATTTTAATAACGTAATCAAAACTATAGAAAATCAAGTAAACGATAAAAATACTGATATCATACAAGATCTGGAACTTTTAGAGAAAAGCCAAGGCGAACCAACAAATGGAGACGACAAAATGAGAGATATCTCTGATGTCAACATTGTAGACAACATTAATGTAGAAAAAGATTTTAATTTTGAAACCAACAATTTTAATTTAAGAAATAGGCCACGTTTTGTGCCTAAAGGTATTTATTGATTTAAATTTTATTATATCTCTTTATATTCGACTCTGTATTCTTTAATTCATCAAACCAAACCAACCAATAAGAGCATTGTGTCTCTAATTACCACGATTTCAATGTTAATGTTTTCAGGTATGTCTCAAATATTTGAAAATTGTCGCACAAAGACAGCGTGTGACTATAATTTAGATGGAGATTATTATGAAGATGTAAGTGCAAATAATGATGAATATGTACATCGTACTCATGAATAAGTAGGTCCATTAGTTCAATGATCTAAATATTTTATAATTTCAGAGCATTTATAACAATTTCGTAAATGACGTCCAAGTCAATGCAGAAATATATGAGCCATTTATACAAAACGTTGAAGAGCTTGCAACAAAAAATATTAACAAGTTTCAAACTAAAGTAAAGAAAGATCATGCATCTTTAGTTTTTGATGAGAATTCACTAAAAACTGCTACGGTAAAATATATTTTCTAATATCCTTTAGAAGAATATGATTTAATCAAGGAGAAAGTTATCTTTTAACTAATAATTTTATACAGGTCCTCGGTCAAGTTGACTGTAAATTTATTGCAGCAGTAATGGACGATCGTGGTGTTCACCGAACAGAAGCTTCTCAATATCTTATATTATTTGATCAACACGCTGTTCATGAGAGAATCAGACTAGAAAATAACTTAGCAGGTACTAAATTTGCTTGAAATAAAATTGTTATATAAATTCTGTTTCCTATTAAAAGTGCGGACGGAATGAACTAACTAGCCACGAAATATAAACATTTTATAAATTACTTTTGAGGAGTAAAGTACTAAAGTACAATAACTTTCCATTGCAGATTATATTACTGATGACAAATGGAATAGTGTCTCAGTAGATAATATGATTCTAAAGTTGTCAAAAGACGAAATCCTTTACCTGCATAACTACAAAGATAAGTTCAATCAGTTAGGATTATTCTGGACTATTACAGATAATAATGAAGTGATAGTACATTCTATACCTGAAGCTATTCTTGGCAAAAATCCTAGAGAGGTAATTTGTGTTGTTACCATAGATCTTACAAAAGCTTAACTATTTCAAAATAATAGAGAAGCATTGACGATCAAATTTTATACTTAAATCTTATGTCTAATATCACCTATTGAGACCTTTACTGCTCCTATACCACTTTGTTGAAACAATAATCTATATATGTATTTATAATTTTATAATATTTCATTCAAGTTCTTCGTTCTTATAACATATATAGTATCTTAGTAGTTACACTAATATTCTAAGTGAATGACTCATCATTAGCAAATTCATCCATCATTACACCGAGTAGATTGTGATGTCAACAAAACCAACACCTGTTGATTGTGAACCAAAATTTTGCTTTCAATCAACAAAAATCTTACAAATATTATAAATGCAAAGGTTACGATGTTTTGGCTGATTGTTACTCAATCACGCCAAAACGGCTGGACGGATCTGGATAAAATTTGGCACAGGTGTAGGATATACTCCGGAATAGGATATAGACTTCTTATCAACATACCACGAGGGTGAAGCCGTGAGCGGAAGCTAGTAAGTTTATAGTTTGTTGCGTACATCTCAGTGTATCAAGATTGTTAAGTTATAAGTCAAAACGAAGCTGTTTGCATTTTATCTGCCCTTTACGTCATACCATTAATTAAGTCCCAGTCACCCTTCGCTACTAGTCTATCTGTACCTGTATTATGTGTACTAAAGTCCTAGCAAGGGATGTTATGAAGATCCCGAAATCCGGAACCGTAACTGAAATTATTCCATCACCGTTACTGTAACCGATTGTACCTGATCTAGATATAAGTATTAGATTGCTTTGGGTATGTGTCGTCTGTTCATGGCTAGTGCCCATTACAATTTTTTTGTTGGTGGACTAAGGGCTTATTTAACAATGTCTAGATGGTTGCTACTATCTACTAGATAAAGTACTTAGTATCCACTGTCGTCAGCCACATACCTACATTTAACTGGATATTTTAAAAGTATAATGAAACAGGTTCTTTGTTGTCAAATTTTTATGTGTAGCGATTTGTCTACAGATATATTAAAGTTTATTAAAAGTCGCTATTAGTCAAACTCAACGTGTTGTTTATTGTTTTTTTATTTTTAAATTTACTTTTCTCTAAAACCAATACAAATCTTATACATATATTTATCCGAATCCGAAACATCGCATCAGTAACATCACTGCCCCCAACGTAGAGCTAGGTATATGCACTACAGACAAGTCTATGACGCATGCAGTTCTGCGTGCGCATTCCCTTCATAAAATCAATGATGAGAGATGAACTAATAATAATAACAAAACATGCTCCACAGGTGGATAAGGTAATAAAAGCCGTTAGAAATCTAATTGTCGAAGAAATCAGTGTTATTAACTTGCAAAAAGGATGTATGTCGTTGTACCCGAAATCTATTATGGATTTAGTTTTTAGCGAGGTAGGATTTATTATACATTTATATGAAGTATGTGTTAGTGTAATCTGTAGGTACTAAGGGAAGGCAAAATAAATATTAATTTACTTGTATTACAATTACTATCACATAATAGTACACCGTATCTATGTTATGTTAAGTGAAATGTGAAATTTTAAGTGTGGGAGAGCCAAAGCTTCGGCGCTAATGGGTCGGCTCGACCGGAATGATACCACGCCCTCACAGAAAACCGGCGTGAAACAACTACAGCGTTGTGTATCGCCTTATGATTGAGTTTACTGGTGGCCCAATCCCTCCCCCTCCCCCATTCTCTAAAAGGCCGGCAAACGCACTCAACAATAACTCCTTTGAAATTACGGGTGTCCATGGGCGGCACTGATTGCTTACCATCACGTAATCCGTCTGCTCGTTTGCCGACCTATAACATAAAAAAGTAGAAATATACCTAAATACATATTTCATAGGTAATCACAATTTGGCAATTGCAGGCAATGTCTATTAATCGTAGTGACAACATAATCAAACTGAATATATTATTTTCTATCAGGCTTGCCGTTATGCCATAAAATTTGGCGATCAGCTTTCAAAGAGTGATTGCGTCGAATTGTTAAACGGATTGTCAAGCTGCAAGACGCCATTCCAGTGCGCACATGGAAGGCCTGTGATGGCAGTCATAATGGATATAAAAGCAGATAAAAGAGAGTATAAGGTAGGTTAAATTGGAGTTTTTGGATCATTACGCTTTTACACACATGATTAGATTTATCGACATATAATATCAGATTATACCAAGAATAAAAAACACGTTTAAATTGTTTGCTTAAAGACTTTAAGATTATTTTCTCGGTAGGTACCTAATGATGATGAATAATTTGCGATTTCAGGTAAACATGAAACAATTAAAATTGTTTAAAGAAAGGAATTAAGCGTTCATAATAGAACAATAAGAACTGGTATATATTTTAGTAATAAAGCTAATATTACAACTGGATAATGACAACAGACTTTTATTTTATTACGCAACTATTTCTTAAAAAATTGGCGCTTGGGGGCACCGCAATAGCCTTCGTGAATGTGCATTTTGATCCAGTCAACGTATGGAGCCAATCTTGTATGGACATCTGGGAATCCTACAGCACAGGGAATCCCCCATGACACTATACCAACGAGCTCATTGCCCTTTACTAATGGACTGCCAGAATCTCCCTGTAAAGAATGAGGTCTTTTTAGTCTTGTTAAGGTTTGTAAAAATGTGGGACTCGAATAGTTTTTAAATTCTCTTGTATGTTCCGTTACACTAAATTATCAGTCAGAAGTCTTTTTAGGGTTGTACCTAAATCATCAAATTACTTCTCTCGCCTAGGGTTAGACGAGAGGGCGTGTCAGTTTGAGGCGTAAAGTGGATAGTTCCCTCACGCGCTCCGCCACCTTTTTGCGAGATTCACTGCTTCGCAGAAAGAAGAGACCACTTCACAGTTCCTCTCGCACCGCACTATGGCTTCGGCTAAGGCCGGACGCGAGAGGTCGCCGCTGCCCAAAGTCGCTTGAAGCCTATGGAACTCAATGATTGAACGGAAAACCTGACTTTACATGGGGGTAATGAATCATAATAAAACAATAAGGTGGCTTGATTTTACTTACATGGCAAGTCCCCTGACCAATCTTTGTAAATGTGCAAAACATTTCTTTGGTGACCGGCCTCGAATATCTCATAGCGAATTCGCACACTTCTTGATTGAAAACTGGCATTTCTAAAGTGTACATAACCCGACTCGAAGAACCATGTGGCTAAAAACATCAAAAACATTTACATATAAGAGCGTTAAAGGAAAATGGACTCTATTTCTGACTCATCAACGAGTCGTTACCTACATTAGGACTTACCTTACTAGCACCAAATCCGACTAAAACGATCTCATCACCTTCATGAAGTTCTCGTTTACTTAGTTTCAAAGGTTTGATAATTCGCAAATCTAATGGACTATTCGTTTTGAGAAGGGCAATATCATGTTGTCTGCTAGTGGCATTGTATCGTCGGTGTACTATTATCTTAGAAACGCCGCATCTTTTACCTCCAACATCTAAATTATTGGTTCCTGCTACTATTTTCATAAAACGAGGATTCGCTCTAAAAAAGAGATAAATTCGTTTTTGTATAAAGTACCTTTATTTTATGACAGGAAAATCCACCATCTATGCCACGTAAAAGATAAGATGATTTCAGATTCAATGGAGTACAAAACGTAAAAATAGTGATTAAAGTTATAACTTGAATAAAAATGGCATCTGTTTATCAATACAAAGTAGAACTTTGTAGTGATAATTAATAAGCTCGTGTGAACATTTAAATCTATAAGAGCGATAATACTACCTACTTCGCACCTGTACTGTTTAAAAAAACTTCACACAATATTAACTTTTAACTTACCTATGAACACAATGTGCTGCAGAAACCACAAACCACTGGGACACCACAGCACCACCACAGACATGATGACCAGTCAGATTCTGAACAGATGCATGAAATCTTCCATATTCTTCAGGCGCGTCAAAACCTCCAATTATCCTGAAGTCTATTGCTGAAACTTTTTCCACATTCATTAGAACTTCAATAAAAATCACTAAATTGACTAAACTATTTATTATAGAATTTATAGACGAACCTTTAACAAATAAGATAAAACTTAAAACTACTATGCACGTATTGAACAAAGACAACATGTTGACTACATTCCGCAAAGAATTAATTGATACAACTAAAATTAATTTAATTTTAATTCATATTGAAACCGTTATCTGTAATATAACAATCTATTTACATCGTATCAACCCATTTTATATCTCTTTGATAATCTCGATGTTTAATCATGTAAAAATCAAAACTGATAAATCCTTCTGATATGAAAGGGACAAATTAATATTTTTTTGAAATCTGTTGTTTTTAATTATAAACAGTACTTACCTACCTTTTATTGCCATTGTAGTTTATTTTATAAAGTAATTAGGTAATTTTGTTTTTCTTATCAATTGCACATTGCAATTTTTGACAATCAATTCATAAAATGCTACGTTTTTAATTTTCATGGAGGGCAGGCAGATGTGCAGTGCATGATAAATCCCCATCACTGATTTTGCGCCAGAAGCACCAGGAAAGTCCCAAGTGCCATTCTTAATTCTGTGCTACTGCTAAAAGTAGCCCCACTACTATCTTAATTAAGTCGAGAATCAAACTTGAGGTTCTTTAGTCAGAACATTTGCAAACAAGCACTCAACCAGAAAAAAACAGATAGGTTGCCCAAAAAATTACATAAGGACAAATAGTAGTTCCAAGGTAGTTTCCAACTAGTCAAATTCAATACCTTTATCCAAATGCCAAAACGATACATTTCTATGAAATTTGTATGAAAAACTGAGTTATGACGTCATAGTATTTTTGCGTCAAATAGCTTACTTATTTCTTAATAATTAGTAAATAAATATCTAAAATTTAGTGTATTGATTGATCGATGAATAAAAGTACCATAGTTATTTTTCAATATTTTATTGTATTGAATCGTCGAATTAATTTATTTTTGACCTAGGAAACTAGCCAATTTAAGTAACTTTTATTTTCTCTGATATAAATAGGTACTTCTTAATGGCATGGGACGGCCACTATACGGACGGATTATAAGAAGCTAAAAATGAAAGAGGTAAGTACTAAAAGTATAGAACATCAGCAGTCGACGCTACCCAAAATACGTATTAAGATGTTGCTGACCTTTTAGGGATTATGGTTGAGGGATACGAGAAAACCATGCAATCATCGTTTCACGTTGGTTTTGCGTAAAATTGCGACATCAGACCAGTCGAGCTGGCCGGTTCGCTCCGAAGCATGGCTCTTTCACGTGTAAAACCGCTTAACAATAAGTATTAATAAAAGAAAGAAAATCCATATTTTGATCTTTTTGAATTCTTTTTTATTTTATTTTTTGTGCCCAATAGACTCGTTTTCAAAATAATACATACACACTTTGACATTTAGTTATAGATGTCACATCAACGTCATTTTGGTAAATGTCTAAATATTAGCGTTACTCTGTGTTGTGTTGCGTGTGTTTTTTGTGTGTTTTTTGCCCATTAAAATATCAAAACCTATACTAGCATGGATATTTTAAAAGCTGAAATTGCTAGAAAACGTAAACTCCTCGAAGAAAAGAATTTACTGGTAAGTGAACGTTCACTATACAATATTAATTAGACATTTCTTAATACTATGTTCATTAATACTTACTTATCTTCTCTTTTTGCTTCATAATTACAGGATCCAACCAAAAACAAGAAATACTTCAAAAGAGGTGAACTAATCGCTAAAGAACAAGAGGAATATTTAAAAAAATATGGCCCACGAATGCCGGAACCTGAAGATACTGTGTCACAAGAAGTTAAAAATGAAAGAGGTTGGTACTAGAAGTATTGAGCATCATCAACAATCAGTAACGATACTGAAACTATTTGTTTATATCAGTTCATTGAACATAGCTTATCTATGTGTTGAAATAACTTGAGAATAGTTGTATGGAACCCAAAACGCAGACTATTTTCAAGCAACCGGCCGATCTTGACTTCAAAGTGTTTAATAGTGGGTATCTTCTGACTGTTGTGATGATGGTAAAATACTAAAGATACTCTCTAATACACATACTAATTTCTACTTAATCAATTTTTACAGCAAGAGATTCACGAGCAACCAATGATGCAGAAAATACTGAGATAGTTGGCTTGCCAAGAACAGAAGTCATAAAAAGGTTGCGTGAAAGAGGTCATCCCATCTGGTTATTTGGTGAAAATGAATTGCAATCATTCAAAAGATTGAGAAGGATAGAGATTCAGGAACCAGAAGCAAATAGAGTAAGTAAAAAGCCTTTTTATTGTTTTTCCTACGAATTTTGTGGGCTTTATTCTTAACTTAGGGTTATAGGGAGGGTATAATAGTTAGCAGCATATTAATTTGTAAAATTACTACAAATCACAATATTACCTTAAGCTTAAGCTGTTTATTCTTAAATTACTTAGTCTAATTTATACATTTTATTGTTTTTTATTTGCAGGGTTTAAGAAATGACTTCCAAGAAGCTATGGAAAAAGTGGATGAAGCCTATCTAAATGAAATTTTGGCTTTAGGGACACAGGTAAATATACTATAGTTCGTTCCATAATTAGAGACAACAATTTGACAACAGCAAATGTCAAACTACAAAATAATGTGGCCAGATTTTTTAACATAGTGATGGGCCCGAGTACGATGTTTTAAATAAAATACCGATACCGTTTTTTTATAAAATACCCTAAGCAAAATAAAACAACGTTGCGGTGATGTTTTTATAGTTTAGTGGAATTCATAATAATAATTTAAAATAAAAATGCGAAATCCAAGACTGATTAAAAGAAAAACATTATATTTGAGGAACCTATGCTGAAAGCCAAGCTGTTGGAGATATCCCGGAAAGAGAAGAGTAATTATGAACGATACGTCGTGGACTGATGGCTGCTAAAAGGGGGGTCACTATTTTACGGTTGCCTCCTTACCATTATGATTTTAACGCGACTGAGTTAGTATGGGCACAGGAAGGTACCAGGGAAAGTAGCTAAAAATAATAAAGCTTTTAAAATGCACGAAGTCCAGAATTTAATTTCGGTCTTTCGGCCAATACCGGTAGCGGGACTTCACTATTTATGAAATGGAAAAAACTTGCAACACTCGAAATGTCAAATCGTTGTCTCTAATTATGGAACGAACTATACATATTGTTATAAAAAAATAACTTTCATTATTTTATTTCTTGAACAGGTTTTCAGGTCTTTAAATTGATAAAACTATTTCATAATAAGTTCATTTATTGTTAAACAGTAACTATACTAAATTTATTGAAAAGGCCTACTTACTCACATGTATGTTATTATCCGGGAAAAGCTCTACTAGTTTAAAGTCACAACAGGGCTATTTATTCTGATTCTCCAATAATGACTGCGCGATGCCAACTAAGTCGGCTGCGCGACATTGCCCTCCTCATTAATAACAGTACCATTGTGATTTGAAACACATTAGTTGTTATCTTGTTATTTATAATGAAAAAAACTTAAGTTCGTTATAGGGTGTAATCAATTTCTTTTACTTATTTCAGAGTGACAATGATAAACAACTGAAAGAAGATGCTTTAGATGATTCAGTAACTTATGAGTCTATACAAGAAATGGCTAAGACTATGGGACAGGGTGACAAAAACCATGATATGAATGTAATCATGACTTTATTACAGGTAAACAAGGACTTTAATTTTATTTAAATAATCTTAAACCAAATTAGATACTTGGTTTTTTATTTATTTATTTATTATGTTTACCAACAATGTTGTACATCAAAGCATGCAACAACAGTAATTACAATTAATCTATAAGGTACAATGCAAACATTACTTAAAGGTAAACACCACATGCCAAAAAGAATAAAAGACAATCTTAAAACTAAACTAAAATAAATAGAGACTTAAAATTAAATATTACATAAACTTTACAAGAAAAATGAGATGAAATTACTTAGAAATAAAGCTTAAGTACAACTAACTAAAAAACTAACTAAGTAAACCTATAATATTTAATTAAAATGCGTGGTTGAGTCAACTAGCTACAGATTAGTAACTTACTGCACCATTGATGCGGTGCCTGGGCAACTGGCTGCCGTGCTACGTGTCACGGGTTCGATTCCCGCACGGAAATCTTTGTCTGATTTAAAAATTGCTGTTTCGTTTCTTGGAACGTGTATTTGAAATTGAATGAAATTCAATTCTAGAATCAATTTTATAGGATGAATACCTTTAACAAAATACAAACACCTTTTCTTTTCAATTCGTGTAACTGAACCTGAAAAACAAATACTCTTAAGGCAAGCTCACAGAACTCTCAATAATCCTTTTATTTATGTGGCGGCGCACAGCTAATCGACGATAACAAACAATAATTGATTGGTACATGACGTCAAAAATCCATCGCCAAAAGAGAAGTTTGCTCGCAATTAGTAATAGCTCCGAGGGTCCTTATTTACCGATCGTAACCCTTTATAGCTTTCTGTTCTCTAAAATCTGAACTGTTTGTAGGAAAATCTTGTAATCCATTAATGTAATTGCCATAATAATTTATTTGTTTCAGTTTCTATTAAGATTATGGGGACAACAACTCAACTCTGCAACAGGTGCAGAAAAAACCGCTGTGAAACATAAAATGGCGCGAGCTACCTTTACTCAAACTCAAGTGTACCTAAAGCCACTGGTGCGAAAACTTAAAAAGAAGAATCTTCCAGATGATATCTGTGAAAGTCTGTGTGAAATTACTAAACATTTATTAGAAAGAAATTACATTATGGTTAGTATTGTTTATATTTAGCATCAGTTTTGTTTTATTTTTTGAGTTAGTCAGGTTGCAAACCATCTAAGCCTTCTAATACTTTTTAAAACCTACAAAATTTAAACGAAATTGTAAACCGTAATAATATATATTTCTGAATCTTAAGTATGGGAGGGCCATGCTGCGGCACGAATGGGTTTATTATATTATACCACGACCTCACAGAAACGCGTGACACAACCACAGCTTTATGTTTCGCCGTATGGGTGAGGTTAGCGGATTCCCAATCCTTGCCCTGGCCAATCCCAAAATTTTTAAGTAGGAATTTAAAATTACTTAAAATTGTTTTTTTTTTCAGGCAAGTGATGCATATCTTCAGATGGCTATAGGAAATGCCCCATGGCCCATTGGTGTAACTATGGTTGGTATTCACGCCCGTACAGGTCGTGAAAAGATTTTCTCCAAAAATGTGGCCCATGTTATGAACGATGAAACTCAAAGAAAATACATCCAAGCTCTAAAGAGACTGATGACTAAATGCCAAGAATATTTTCCAACTGATCCCTCAAGATGTGTGGAATATACTACAATTAGATAATAAATAGTATTTCAATATATGAGTATACCTACTAGTTTGTTTTATTTACTAACAAAAACTGTGCATTTAAGAGCTCTCTCTTACATTCTAGCTCATCAAGGCAGTTTACGTTTGGAATGATGCTAATTTAGTTCTGTCGATTATATACACTCATATGACATGTCCCAGTTTTGTTCCTTATGTATTTATTTGACTCTACGGTTGGCAGTGGCCGGGGCTGAACGACCTTCGAGGTACTGCCCAACGCTTCGCGGGTTCGATTTCCAAACGAAACCTACCTACCTATTAGGTAGGGACACCCGAACTTCCACAAATGACATTAGGTACTGTTGGAACTCTGGGTGTGATTTGGTAAAAATGAATGAGGTACCTAAGTACTTATCAACACAGGACCAAAAAAATACCTCTAATATAATAATAATGGGAAAGTTACAAGTTTTTTATATAAATAATCTAATTAAAATATTAAAGTACAGAACATGGAAGTAGTAGGTACCTACCTACTTACTCAGTTTACTTCAAACTAGCAAGTAGTTACTACCTTAGACCATTAGATTTAGATTCTTGACTGCACGGTTGGTGCGGTGGCTGGGCAACTGGCTGCCGTGCAACGTGTCGCGGATTCGATTCCCGCACGGAACAACTCTTTGTGTGATCCACAAATTGTTGTTCCGGGTCTGGGTGTTATGTGTATGTGAAATTGTATGTTTGTAAGCGCGCCCACGACACAGGAGGAAATCCTAATGTGGGGCAACGTTTTTTTTTTGAAAAAAGAAAAAAAAAAGATAATTTCTCCATGGGAAGAACATGGGGAGAAGATTACGTATTAGTTCGGACAAAAGGCATTAAGAGTTTTTGTTGTTTCATTTATTTAACGATAACGACGCTAGTATGGTCAAGGTAATTATGATATTTTTACTGTGGTATGGTGTTAAAACATCATGAACTGGCAACCATCGTAAGTTTTCAATATATTTTTAGAGTTCCGTATTACCGTATTCAAAAAGCAAAACCATGGGTCCATCATGTATATTTATTTGTCGGTCTGTCCATTTTTCATAGTCAACTATGCATAGGTATATTATAGTAGTTTTTTATTTTTATCAAAAACTACCTACACCTTGATTATTTATGGACAGGTCTTCAAAACTCATATTGCGGTTTGTTAGGTACATGTTCCTTTCTATTACTTAACAAAAATAAAAAATACAGTTTTTTTGAAATACGTTCGTTCGAAAAATTATGTTATCTGCTGCTACTGCTGCTACGGGACCTTTCATGTAAGAGTACGACTTGCACTTTGCCGCTTTTTTTATTTTTTAATGGCAAGTTCGCAAGATAACTGTCAATAGTGTTGTATCCAAACCTATATTCCTTATATTTAATGTATGCGTAAAAAAACTTGTATGAAAGTACCTATTACTGAGTATTAGTCAAATGTTAGTAAACCGATTTTAATATTCGCTATTTGATTTTTTTGTCGGATTTGAGGCAAACAAGCTGACGTATAACCTGATTGTGGGGGATCGGCACCGCCCTTGGACATGCAGCACCAGAAGAGAATCTATCTGATATAGAAATAAAACGTGTCTATATTGTACCTAACTCTAGTAGAGAGGCAGAAAAGTTTTAAAAAACTTCTTACATAATATTATTAAAGTTTCACTCAAATTTCACAGGCCCATCAACGTTGAATAAATACGTGGGCAAATGAGTGCTAGTTGCCGGCTAGTCGCGAATCGTACATCTTTAAGCTGTCAAATATTTATTTGACTACTATTGCATAGTCTTAATGTATAATATTGGCTAATCCTAATATAATAGGTACAAGTCGCTTAAAATAATATGATACTTGAACCTAATACGGGTATATTTGTTTCGTCTCTAACTGTCAATTTATTGACAGACTTGTCAAGTTGCTACTCGTCGGAAAAACGAAACGAAAACCGCAAGTCGTAAAGCGACGAATAGTATTTATTTATCGTGATGAAATTAGGATTTAAAAATGATTTTCGATTATGTTACAAAGTTTCACTTAGAAGATTGCTTAAATATTTTATCAGAACATGATAATTTGGGCTACTACAGCGTCAAAATCGAGTAAATATGCGTTGCTTCTAAGTGGTAGTTGTTTGTTTACCATTGTTTTCAGATTATTTTTTCTATTTTAGTTTCCTAAAACTTTTTGAGACCTATCCTGATGTCGGAGATAAAGTATTATGTAGTCCTGTGGAAAGTTTACCGGCCTGTAATAAGGATTTAATAAAAGTGCAACAAACAATTCTTGAGCGCGACGAATACAAATCGGCTGTTGCAAAGTTAGATTATTGCTTTTTAAAACGTAATATTCATGCAAGATTCTTTGGTTTACCTGTTTGCCCAGAATTGCATCGAACAGTTTTCCCGAAAAATGTGGATTTGGGATGTTTTCTAAAAGTCACAGGTAATTTTTGTATAAACAACACTAAACTTTTACAGAGCTTCAATATAAATAGATAAAGCCCATGTTTTCTGGTTTTAGGCACCGTTGTCCGAGTCACGCAGTCTAAAATGTTAGAATATCAGCGGAAATATGTTTGTATAAAGTGTAGATATGAGAACTGTGTGGAAGCGGAATTTGAGAACAGGTACATTTTGCGACCTCCATCAAAATGCGGGAATGATGACAAAGCTTGTCGAAGTTCAACATTTTCACAAGTGCCTCTAGTTTCTAGAGAGCATTGTAAAGATTATCAGGAAATTAAAATACAGGTAAGCCTTATTAAACAATTATATTTAACTGTTATTGAAATAAATCCTAAATAACAGGCTATCCCTGTCAGTTTGTGTACACATATTAGTTGACTATTAATTAAGTTTCATTGCTGCACTTTACCCACTGAACTTCTTTAAGTAAGACATATGTTTTGCTCAATTTTCTTCTTATTTAAATTATTATACAGGGGTAATCTGTCTTAGATTTCATTATGGTAGGCAAACCGCTTCACCCATAAATATCTGCAATACCAGAGGAGTTGTGTTGCCAGCCTTTGTGGGATAAGGGATTTTGTGTCTTTGATGGGGAGGGAAAGGGTTGGGAAAATAATACAAGAGACTTAATATATCTATTAAAAGTCTTGTTATATTTGATATACATCAATCACTGCATAATCCTACAAAATAAAATAAAGAACCCTCTTGAATTCTATTTGAGCAAATGTGATGAAAGTTGCCTTCAAGTTTGTCATCCATGATAAATCTATAGATCATTCACCTGATGAACATTATTACCTATATTTCAGGAGCAAGTGAACAAGTTGAGTATTGGAACTATACCTGGGTCCATGTGGGTGGTGTTAGAAGATGATCTGGTAGACTGCTGCAAACCTGGCGATGATGTCATTATTTGGTAGGCAATATTACTGACAATAATATTGATGTGTGTGTAAGAAATACTGGTTCTAAATTTAAATCAACTTAGTCATAGATATTCATAGGTTCTAACTATGAGCTATACTTCCTATTGGCTGGATCATCATGATAATCCGTTGCAGTTCTAGGTCCTAATCAAAAGTAGTCTGGGCAAATACAGAATGATTTCCTGTTTTATTTTGTTAGCTTATAGTATGAATGCTATAGGATCACATTACTATACAAATACATATCATCAAATCACATCATCAGCCTATAAGTGCCCACTGATGACTATAGGCCTCTTCTGACACTGAAAAGTTTGAGCTTTAAATCACCAAGTTTCCATTTCGTCACGATGTTTTCCTTCACCATATGTCAGTGGTATCTGAATAATTGGGTAGTTTTCTAGGTCAAATATAAATTAATTCAATGTTTCAATACAATTAAATCATCTTTTAAATCTCTTTTAATCATCGATTGATCAATACACTAAGTTTAAGATTTTTTTTAGCGTATTATTAAGATTAGAGAGAAGTTAACTATTTGACGCAAAAAAATGTTATGACGTCATAACTCAGTTTTTAATAAAAAAATCATAGAAAACTACCGTTTTTGACGTTTGAAAAAAAGTATTGAATTTACCTAGTTGAAAACTACCATATTATAAATAATCATAGAAAGAGAATATGTATAACGCGAAAAGGTGCCAGGTTTCGAACCCGCACCCTCATGCATGTGGACTGGGCGCCTTAACATGCAAGCCACCACAACACCAAAAATATTTTTTATTTCCGGTTTTTCCAGTGGTACGGTCAGACGTCGGTGGCGACCTTCAAGTACTAACAAGAAGTCTGAGGTTGAATTGGTTTTACAAGCAAATTACATAGAAGTCTGCAATGCACAGAAATCTGAAGTTTTATCCTCTGCCCCTGATGTAAAGGACTGTTTTGATGAGTTTTGGTCTAAGTATGAAGCTTGTCCTATGAAAGGGAGAGACCGGATTCTGGCTGCAGTGTGTCCTCAGGTGAGAAAAATAATAATTATATTTCAAGTACCAGTTATTGTATCAGTCTGTAAGCCTTCTTAAAAACAATAAATACATAAATGAATTAAAGCTGAATTAGTGGATTGTGGCTCGATTAGCGACTTTTTACTTAATTGAAACTTGTGTTATTTCCTCCTTGTAAGTTTTATTTGCAATGAATTTCTCAACTGACATTAAGCACCTAAAATGAGTGGTAACTGGTGTGTAATAAAGTACTGAGTTAAAAGTGGACGAAAAATTCACAATATTTGTATGTGGCTGTATCATTGATTTCAATCAATAGGATAATGAAACTTAAATTATAATTTTATCCTCTGCTTATTTCAGGTTTATGGACTTCACTTAGTTAAGTTAGCAGTACTTCTAACCGTGATTACTGGTTCGAATCACGTGGCTGAGAACATTCAGGATGGCAAGAAAAACGCCCAAGACGACAAACATGCGACCCGTGTGCGTGGCCAATGTCACCTACTTCTTGTTGGTGATCCAGGTAAGTGAAAAACTGAACCTTTTTTTTTGTTAGGTATAATTATGTCGGCAAACGAGCAGACGGATTACTTGATGGTAAGCAATCCGCGCCGCCCATGGACACCCGCAACACCAAAGGAGTTATGAGTGCTTTGCCGGCCTTTTGGGGATAGGGGTTGGGGATATAAGGATCGGGAAGGGATAGGGCAGGGGGAGGGATTGGGCCTCCGGAAACCTCACTCACACGGCGAAACACAACGCTGTGGGTTGTTTCACGCCGGTATTCTGTGAGGCCATGGTATCACTCCGGTCGAGCCGACCCATTCGTGCCGAAGCTTGGCTCCCCCTCACTTAGCTTCATTGTTTTGTGATGCAGGAAAACAGTCTTTATTTTAATAATATTTTTACTGATACACAGACATGTCTACAGAGGCATATGCCTAAAGTGTTGTTTCATAGAATAAGCTCACTTATGTTAAGTATTTTTTATTTTATTTTTTATTATTGCACAATTACGTTTCAATAATAATGATTTTGAATTACGTGGATTTAAGTCAGAGTCTGCATTATTGTTTTGATTTTTTTTCGGGATAATCAGCATCTAGTGTTATATCTCAAATAAAAGCAAAAAAACATGAGAGTACTAAATCAACAATTTCAAAGCTATATTTATTGCTGTAGATGTATTAATAAAGGACAGCTTTTGTTTTTTTATTATAAGTTCATAAGATATGTTAAGGCGGACTGAATGCCTTAGGCATTTTCTCCCAGTCGCTCTTTAGGCGAGTGATCAAGTTCACCAGTAAATTATTCAATACTAGCTACTCTCGCGCGGTTTCACCCGCTGCTCGGCTCCATTCAATCGTAACGTGATGTTTTATAGCCTATAGCACTCAGGAAATTTGTAGCTATCTATCAGTAAAAGAATTTTGGAAATCTGACCAGCGGTTCCAAAGATTACCCCCTACTTACAAACTTAAAAATTTTACCTCTTTATAATATTAGTATAGACGATTTGATTTACAAATTGATCTGCTTCTCATCCACCGCCTATTGTTATTTTTTACAGGTACTGGAAAATCACAGTTACTCCGCACTGGTGCTGAATTGACAGCCAGATCTGTATTTACCTCGGGAGCTGGCAGTACTCGAGCCGGTCTCACTTGCGCAGCACTTAGGGTAAGGGGTATAATTTTTTTAAGCTTTCCCCATGCTAACATTTTCTCCAGTGTCGTGGGTGCGTTTACGAAACATAAAATTTTCAACATACAGATAATACCCAAACAGGTAGTAATGGATTAAAGATGTACATTATTTTGTTATCTTCCGAGATATTTGATTTTGGACTCCTTGTATCTAGGGCTGTACTACTGAACACATGTTCTTTACCTAATACTGAGACTTTTTTAAAGAATTGATAATTTTTTTTGTGTTAATACTAGGACTCTTTCTTCAAAAAATTTTAATAAAAACTACAAGTTTACATACTGGCCCGGAATACCAAACTCCTTGCTCGACAATCACAATCGACCGACCAATAAATTGATGATAAGTAATAAATAATTCTATCTTTTACAGGAAGACGGTGAATGGCAATTAGAAGCTGGTGCTTTAGTTCTATCAGATGGAGGTGTATGTTGTATTGACGAGATATCACAGCTGAGGGAACATGATCGCACCGCTATACACGAAGCTATGGAACAACAAACCATATCTGTTGCAAAGGTATAAAGGAAGTTACTGTAATTTACACTTTTTGTTGTTGAAATTAGATTTGAGTTTAGCTTGCTAAGATGTTTTGTAGCGTACCGTATTGGATAGACTTTAAATTTATTTAGTCTTTATTATGTTAACGTTAAAGTAGCTACAGTAAAGCTTTTGGAATTTTGACCTTATGTGGTTGATGTTGAAGCTGATTTTGTTATCTAATAATAGATTGCATTTTCCAGGCTGGTATTGTGTGCAAATTGAATACACGCTGTGCAATAATTGCTGCCTGTAATCCTAAAGGACATTATGACACGGATCAGCCGCTCAGCGTCAATGTCTCGCTCGGAACGCCCCTGTTAAGTAGGTAAAGGATGTTTACTTAATTTTCAGTAAATACAAATTTTTAGTAACTCTCACTTAGATTTTCGGAAATAGGGATAAAAACATTGATGAGGGAAAGTTATCCTCTTACAAATGTAGCAACCGAAGTGATACCACGCCCTCACAGGAAATTGTCGTGAAACAACGCGTGTTTTTTTTTTTTTTTTTTTATGTAATAGGTCGGCAAACGAGCAGACGGATTACCTGATGGTAAGCAATCAGCGCCGCCCATGGACACTCGCAACGGTGGAGTTACGAGTGCGTTGCCGACCTTACAGGGATTAGGGATTTGGAGATATAGGGATTGAGGAGGGATTGGGGAAGGGGAAGGATTGGGCCTCCGGTAACCTCACTCACACGGCGAAACACAACGCAGTGGTTATTTCACGCCGGTTTTCTGTGAGGCCGTGGTATCACTCCGGTCGAGCCGACCCATTCGTGCCGAAGCATGGCTCTCCCACACTTAAACTTGAGTGTGGTTACCGGTAGCCAAATCCATCCCATACCAAATTCCCCTAAATCCTGAATCACAAAAACACCAGCAAAGAACTTGTAACTAACTTGGTGTTGCGATGGTGATCCTTCTGCTAGTCTATACAGACCACAAAAATATTAACGCCCGGTTTCTGAAAGGCTTGTCAACGCAAAAATTAACTAATCTCCTGTTAAATCTCTTGTCAAGTCATCTGATTGGTTGTTGATAATTCAGTCAACCAATCAGATGACTTGACAAGAGATTAAATTGATTTTAACATTGATCGGCTTTTCGGAAACCGGGTGTTAATCATAGCACTAAATTGATTATGTACTTTTTTTCAGGTTCGATTTAATATTTATTCTACTGGACTCTAAGAACAAAACCTGGGATAAACTAGTATCGTCATACATACTCTTTGGGGACTCAAATGCAGCAGAATCTAAGAAAAGATGGAATCTTGAAAAGTTACAGGTAGCTACAATCGTCATAATATTCCTTTTAGAAAGCCTTGTAGTGTCATATATAGAATATTCGCCGAATATAAAGTAACATAATGCATTTGCGTGCTATTTAAATACGGATAGACAACCAACTATTAAGTAAGGTATTTTTAAGTGTGGGAGAGCCAAGCTTCGGTACGAATGTTTCGGCTTGACCGGAGTGATACCACGGCCACACAGAACACCGGCGTGAAACAACCACAGCGTTGTGTAACACCGTGTGAGTGAGGTTATCGGAGGCCTAATTCTTCTCCTCCTCAGTGCCTAATCCGGTCGGCAACGCACTCGTAACTCCTCTGTTGCGGGTGTGAAGTGCGAAATCATATGAATTCCCTCTGTCAAAAAATATTAAACATTTTTTTTTACAAATTTGGTCTTACACTCTACTACTAGGTAAGCTTTGTAAAAAATGTTTATAAATTTAATGATACCGATTTCAGATGTACATAAGTCTAGTCGGCCCTAAGTATTCCGAAATGACAAAGTCAGCGAATATGATTCTCCAGAAGTATTATATGGCACAAAGAATGTCTGAACATCGAGATGCGTCCCGCACTACTGTGAGAATGTTAGACAGCTTAGTAAGGTAAGTCTCCCTTTCTATAAACGAGGAAATCTGATTGATCGAAAGCTAATATACCAAAATCAGCTTCAGACAGTACAGAAATTTTGTACTAAATTGTCCTACAGTCGTTGGCTCTGTTTAGGGTTGTTCCACTACCAACAAAATGGTTGATCGGGAGCATGACTGAAAGCTGGGAGCCTGGGACAGGTCAGCTCACTTAGCGTGTTGGCCTGTTATAAAATCGGTTTTTGTTAAATGTTTACTGGAATATTAAGGGCATGGGCCAGGAGGAGGATTTAAACTGATATTATTAAAAAGCTTGTATACCAGAGTTACTCTACATGTCTAGGATAGATAACCTGTTTAAAGTAAGTGTTTAAACCTTTTTGCAATGATTTATTATACATGAATTCTTGTCATTACAGATTATCGCAGGCGCATTGCCGATTAATGTACCGAACTACAATCTTACCAATGGATGCGATCGTAGCAATTTCACTAGTCGATCTATCTATGCAAGACTGCACACTCGATGATACAGCGGACGCCTTACATTCAACCATACCCAAATATCCAGACTTCGAGTACCTATGCACAGCCAAAAAACTTCTAACGAGGTTAAATTTGAATGATATATGGCGAAACGAACTCCTATATTACGCGAAATTGTTACAAGTCGACCATAAAACGCTAGAAAGCGATATTGAAACAGGAAATTGTAAGCTATTCGCGAAACATGATGATGTTACTGATGACAACATTCAATTATCAGCATCTCTTATAACTAGCTCTTATTTTAATAATAAAAAGGGTAGTAAAAGTAATGAAATTGTCATTGCCGAAGACATTGAAAACAAAAGACAGGATAAGGAGTTTAAGAATGTTGGTATAAATGAAAGATTTGCTGTAACATTAAAGAAACATAAAACTCTGAATAGTACAGAAAAAGAACCACCTAGTGTTAAAAAAAAGGGAGGTAATAAACGCAAAAGAAAAGAAGTAACTGCAGACATTACTGAAGTAAAGAATAAATTGCCTAAAAAAGGTAAAAAGTCTAAAGGTAAAGCTAATTCTAAGGAAGATAATGTGTCCAGTGATGAAGAATTTGTAGAAGAGCAAATTGTTTTAAAAGCTGTACCCAGTGTAAATGATGCCTTAGCTGACTTAGGCATTGATTTCCATTTCGATAATGGAAGTGATGAAACTAATGTTAATAATGAAAGGAATATTGATAAATCTGAATCTAAAGAAATAGAAATACCTAAACAAATTGACACTTCTGAAGAAAATTTAGATAGTGTATTAGATATAAGTATTGAGATTGGCACAAAAAAGGATGATGTCAAAGAAAGAACTGTTTGTAAGTTAAAACAGTTCCAATTTATTGGCAAACATGACTTGGATAAATATGATGATAAGCCAAAAAAGCCTTTGGATAAAAATTATAGAAAAATTAGAGATAATAAAGTTACTGATAAAGAAAACAATATAGATAAAAGTGCTTCCAATGTAAAAGCATCTACATCAAAATCCCAGATTTCAATGTTTGAAGGTACGGATTCAGATTTGAATGTGACAGTACTAGCTCAAGTACGAGGCAAAGAAAATTCTTCCACAGCATCAAATCAAAAGCTATCTAATCCTAGTTCTCAAATATCCATGTTTGAAAGTTCAGACTGTGATATAGATTTAGATATATAATCATGTCTATAGTTTTTATACTGTTGTTAAAATAAATCAAGTACTACTATTTTTCGTGGTTTTAATTGTAACAATATCCTACAACATATTTACAAAATATAATATTAAGAAGCTACTTTTGTTGCAGCAAAGGGGTTTGGTTTAGTCAGAATTTTCTATTAAATAATTGATTCATATTTATTTTCTATGTCAATTAACAACATATTTTTTTCATGAACTGATGTTTGAAAATATTTTAAGATGTTGATTTCTAGTTTACATTGTATTGCAAACAATATGAATAACATTTATTTAAACTTCCTCCGAAGTCTTTATAGGGTCATTTTCATAGTTCTCTATGAGTAAGTGTTTGAACCTCCTTGCTGTAACTTGAATGCTTTCTTCTTTAGCGGTTACATCTAAGATTTCCACTCTAGACACATAAATGTGATCTGGGTTTTTAGGGCTCACCATCTTTATGACATCTACTTCATCACCCACTTTCACCTACAAATTAAATTTGATTATTTCTTCGGTAATCTAACATATTGCAAACACTTTTTACTTTGATATGTAATACTTACTGAAGCGCTCTTCTTTAAGATTTTCTTCCCATTGACTCTGATTTTACTTTCATAAAACATTTGTTCTACTTTGCTGAAAATAAAATATTGTGAGTTAGACGCTAGACTTCCTATTCTTCGAGTCATAGTTAAAAATATTTGAAAGATTTCTTACTTCCTTGATACACTAAGTGCTGACTTTAACACTACATCGGTTCTCATTGATGTGGTAGAAAATTTTACTACTTTTGAATCTTTTGAGAGAGAAGAATCATCCTCTAGCTCAATTTCTTCGTCGTCCGAGTCGTATTGTCTCTAAAAGAAAATAAAAAATGTATGACCTTTACATCTTGAAAAAGGTTATAACTCAAACTATTATTGAACTTACTTCTTAGACGCCTCGCTTTAATGCTCTTCTAAATACTACATACCTTTTTCGATTTCCAACGTACGGCATTATAATTAGTTTTATTGGAATACAAATCCACTAGTTTTGAGGTTATGTTTACATGTCGATATACACAACAATGAATTGGCCTCTGGATAATTTCTTGTTTTAATACACGACTAATAAGAGACGGAGTAATAATTCTTCGCAAATAACTCATTGTTGTTTCACTTAAATTAAATCACAAACAGAAAATGTTACAAAACATTACACTCCATTACACGATATCTGACGTGACATAACATTATAACAGCTGACAGCTGACAGTAACATGCCAATATAATATAAACTTTTAAATATTATTGTTAACTTTTTTCCATAACTAAATACTTTAGTCCAAATTAGCATACTAAAAAAAATTTATTTTTTTTAATGCCTATCGCATAATAATTAAGCTATTATTGAAAATGTTTTTTATAAATATTTAAGCATAACGATTCATTTGCAATATGGAACGTAATAATTCGTTTAGAAATACTAGCTATAATGAAAAGCCTTCTGTACGTCGTAAAACTATGATCCAATGTTCACTTTTATTTTTATGGATGTATTTTGGATTGACTTTGATCTATAAAAAATCAAACACGTCAAAACAAACGGACAGAGCGTCTATCATCAACTGTTACTTCTTTGTAAGCTTAATAATAAACGATGTGGTGAATGGTGATGATAGTTGGGGGTTCTAATAAATTCATAACCATAACACAGATTACCCGTCGACCGACGTGAGAGCAAACACCTCCACTTCTGTTTTTATACGACATTTGGTAAGCATCAAACCAAATGTTAAGTATGGTTTACAAGATATCTTAATCTATAGGTATGTACTTAATTAGTTTTAGGTTCAAGTTTTGATCTGAGCTGTTGCTGATTTTCCAAGTTATTTGGTAGGTAAGTTTTAAAAATGAAGTAGGTAACTGCAAAAATACTCTTTGCTCTTAGGCCCGCTGTAATTTATCCTAAACCTGGACCAATAATTTTTTAAAAACTAGAAACAACTTGTCCCAATCAGTACTTGTAAAACCATGATAATTATAGGTACACGAGTAAAGGCTTATACCACATCATACCCTCGTACCTCCTCAACATTTCATACGTAGGTAGGTACCTACGTATAAAAAATTAGGTATTTAAAAATTAGGTAGATTAAAAATTAGGTAGATCGGTAATATTCTTAACAAACCTACCCTACTTAATTATCTTTGAAGATAGATAAGTAACGATAAACAATACACTCTCAATGGCGATAATACCCCAAAAAAGCTCTAAACGGACAAAGAAAACAGATATGATATCCTTGTTGACACTAGTGTCAGGGTGCGCGTGTCACGTCGTGGGAGAGTCTTGGCGATATTCAAGTGTGTCGATTTATCTCATCCCGGCGACTGAACGGCGCATCAGAGCAAACACCACCTATCTAACGATAATGGTCTCCATTCAGTAAATATTTTTTGCAGACTGTTATTTAAGTACTTATATGGGAATAATGATAATAAGATCCGTACCTTAGTAAAATGAGAGTGTATCTGGACGAATGCAAAAAGCTATACTATCTTTATCTGCCTAGGTATTTCAATAATCGAACACATCACGTCAATTCGTTGATCAAGTTTCTAGGTTTAGATTGAGTGGCTTGATAATGTTTCTAATAGACACAACTACAACCCTCTGCTCGCTTTAGTAATGTGTCTTAAATACATAGGTATATATTATATTATTATAATATATTTATTAATCTACTGCGGCATTAGTAAACGAATCTGCAATATTAATAATTAAAATCACAAAAACTTTTAAGAAGCTAACTCAAAGCAAGTAGACTAAAAAAATAAACTCTCACTAAAAAGTTAAAAGATTTAATGAGAATAACAATCACGACTGTGACCAAACGAAAACACCCGGCGTTAGTGCTGGCACCCTGAATTTAAAAATAAAAACTTAACTTTTTCTTTCAATACAATTATTAGGGCGTTCGTCATACGAAGTTTCCAGCCAGCTACTTTATCACATTATACACGGTTTGTCTCTTAGCCTTACCAACATGTGGACACATGTCTTGCATTCAAAATGCTCTTCTTATTTTAGTACTATACGATTATGTTAACGGTTAGTTCAAAGGGTTTTATAATTTGACACAGTTTTATGGCTTTGTCCTGTGTGTTGACGGCAGTGGATGGAAAAGTTGTGTACCGTCGCAAGTGGACTATTAATTTATCGTGAAGACAAAACAGTGTTATCGCATAAATTGTGATGTCTGGGTACACGGCTACGGATCATAATCATAAATCTTCCTGTACTCTAGCGCTTGCCGCAGATTACTCAATCTTGGCTGGCGAAACGCGGTGCTTTATTTTTTGTTTTTACTTTTGCTGTCAAGTGTCAACTGTCGAATAAATATTTAAATTCAAAATATAATGTACCTAGGCGGCGGGCACATACCTTTCATCAATAAATAAGAAAAAATAGACAGTTTGGCAGTTGGGTTAGTAATAAAAACATTTTTAACGTGGTTTAATAGACATACCTAAAATACGCAGCGACAAAATGCTCCTGTACATTTAGTTTAGAAGAGAATAAAAGTTTTATTACGGAACAAACTCAAAACAAAACGAAACAATCACCTTATCCGAGCACTTATCAAAGCAGAACAGAGTTTCTGCAAAAATTGAAACAAAGTCTTGTAAAGGAACGATCAACCCACTCTCTAGCCGTTTAAGTTTGAAACAACTGCACTTATTCCCAGTAAATTGAATGACCATTTACTTGGAATAAGTGCAGTTTTACTTTTTATCTCAATAGCTGCAGTTCTTAGAGTGGTCTACTAGGCGGCTCCTACATTCCTGACTTTATAGCGCAAGCCTCGATAAGTTTCTTTAATATAATCGCGTTCTTGAACAATACGCGTTTACGATGCTTTATGGCGTTCACAAAGGAAGTTATGAATACATCGGTACTCAGGTTTCGGAGTTATAATGTTAACAAATATGTATAAACGTCGCTACCCAACCGTGGGGTCTCAAATAAATCAACGGCTTCTTCGTTTTAAAACCTTTTGTTAGCTGAATATGTTGTATTGTTTGAACTTGTAAACAATTCTGTAACCGATAAAGTAACATCTTCTTACGTGTTAGTGATTTGTATAATAGTTTTTTATTTGTAAACTCATGTCTTTTTTAATTAGCAATCAATTCGAATTAGTGTCGTGGTGGCCCGAAGTTTTAAGGCGCCTGCTTTTCATGCATGAGGTGGCGGGTTTGAAACCTGACAAGTACCTACCAATGTACCTTTTTCCAAATTATATGTACTTTCTATGACTATTTAGACACCACTGACATTGAAATCAAGCGTGATGATTAATGGTCAAACCATCTCAATGTGAGAAGAGGCCTCTGCTCATCAGTACCTAGGCACTTATACGCTGATGGTAAATCGTTTCGAATTTACTCGGCTGAATCTGTGAATTGTGTTCATTTTATGTAGGTAGATTAATAATATTGTAAGGTTTTAGTTTTTACTAAAGGTTCAATTTGTTTTTTGTGTCGTTTTTGCCTTTATTTGGAACTTTGCTACATAAAATAGAGGAGTAAAAGTTTAACAGTAAAAACGAAATAGTACGTAGAATGAAAAAGTAAAATAGAAACAACAATACAATAGATACACAAAAGAAAACTTGATTGCAAACACGTCTCATATTTGAGAAAAGGTAGCTTAGAATGATTCTAAGCATTTTTATAAAGAGCACTGGTTGAATAGCATTGTTATGGGATATTCAAGTACCTATGGTGTCTACATTTCTGCGATGTTGTCATGTACAAGTTATATATGCGTATACCCTAGAACCTATAACATGTTTTAAAGAAATCTTCTTATTTGCATGTTCTTCGGTTTAAAAAGGCTACCTCAAGTAGCTTTTTTTATAAAAGCAATTCTTCGAAGATACTATAGGCAGTTAAGTGCCCAGGATTATTTAGTTTAGTTGTTAGTGTTTAACTTTTAAGTTTATATATCTACTTGTTTATTGTTAACTATGTATACTTAACTATTTGCACAAGATAACTTTATCGCCTAATAAATGTCCTGATGTGACATTGTGAATGTGTTTGAATGTGTTTGAGAAAAATGTACCTATTTCGAATTTGCTATTCCTTAAGTGATTGCTGTGGGTTCTTTTGGTACACCAACAATATTTAGTACATGAATATTATAAAACTTTGTATTATAACCTATTTCGTAATCTAAAGGCTAAACCATTTTACCTAATTGAGTATCTCGTTTATCAACAAATGTTTCGCCCATTTCCATCTCTGCTGCTGCTTTATTTACATTTTCGTCCACTGATTGAATACACGTTGCATGCGGTTTCCATTTGCATTGCAGTTTCATATTAATTGGATTTTGTTTTCATTTGTGCATTTGTTTATCCATTTGTATAATTTTTTTTTTCATTGTCTGCAAGTTTGACATATTACGTAAGTGATTAAATAGTAATATTGCTTGAAGCATTTCTTGCTGCAGAGCAATTTCTAATGTAGGTAACATTAGAAACTTAGCTGGTACCTACCTACGGAACGAATCCGAAACGGCAGCACTTACAAAACAATTCCTCCAAGCCCTTTATCCGCGCCATTCTCGTAACAAAACAACATAAATAAAATCACTGTAAGTTCTGATTGATCTTAAATATCACGCCGGCAGCTAAGCGAAGTAACGGGAGCGAGAAATTGAATTTCTCATTTGACGCCCGAGGTATAGTATCGTTTATCATGGAGAAGGTGACACTTCATCATGTCATAGTGTCTAAGCCCCCTTTGTAGAGCTATTGGACTGTGAAACTCTTGGCGGCTAGTGAGGAGTATGTAATTGTGGATTATGAGAAATAATGGAAGCAATTATAGATGTGTCGGGATTGAAATGCGCGTTCGACGCTTAGTGTCAATTGTAGACGTATGTGGATGTCTTGTCTGATAGCAATCAGACAGACTCTTTAAAGAGCTTTAGCCATATCTTTAATGGTTTGACTCAAACGAATCTGTTTTGTTGCCTGTGGAGACCTTTTTATATCAAGTTACATTTAATTCATGGAGGTTCGATAACCCAATTTTCAAAATTTGCAACTTTACAGTGCAAGTATTATAAAAGATTAGATTTTCATTCATCGGCTTTACGATATAGTAGGTAGGTAGGTAAGTAGATACTTAAAAGAGAGAGTCAAGAGTTTTAATGATTGAGAATTGAGTGATTCTTC